AAAAAAAAAAAAAAAAAAAAGAAACCTCGGGCCTTTTTCAAGTAGCTAACAACAGGTTAACATTTCTGAGTTCTGATGATGGCAGTGAATCCATAGCAAATCATTATAGAACTGCTAGAATCTAGTGAACAATGTCAGTTTATTCAGCTCCCTACAACATTTTCAAATGGGACCCAGAGACATGGATTTTTTCCCCTCAAGATCTCACTGAAAGATTAGTTGCAGGTCAGGTATAGTGGCTGACGCCTGTAATCCCAGCACTTTGAGAGACTGAGGCAGAAGGATTGCTGCAGACCAGAAGTTTGGGACCAGGCTGAGCAACACAGTATTACCCCATCACTACAAAAAAAAATTTTTTTTTAATTATCCGCTTAATGGTGCATGCCTGTAGTCTCAGCTACTTGGAGGCTGAGGCCAGAGGAGGAAGGTTCCAGGAGTTTGGAGGCTGCCATGAGCTATGATAGTGCCACTGACTGCACTGCAACCTGGGTAACAGAGCAAGCCCCCGTCTCAAAACAAAAAAGTTGGTTGCAACCTCTGGCTGGCCCAGTACTTTGCTTTATTATGCCACACTGTAAAAACTACAACTAACAGTTACTAAGACTGAAGGGAATGGAGACCTTTAAAGACAGGATGAATCTCACACACAAATACTTCTAATTAAAATATTTACTGATTCACTGGTGAGTAGTTTATCAGTTCTGGCTCAGTTTTGTTTTTTGTTAATTTATTTTGAGAAAGTTTCAGACTTACTGAGAAATTGCAAAAATAATACAAAGGATTCATGTCTGTCCTTTATCCACATTCCCCACAGGTTAACATTTTACCATATTCTCATTATCATTATTCTCTTTATATATATTAATACATATTTTAAATCATTTGAAAGTAAATATACCTTAGTGTATATTTCCTAAAAATAAGATTATTCTTTTGCATAACCATCAAGAATAGGAAATGAAGGCTCGGAGCCTATAGCTCAACTGGCTAAGGCGCCAGCCACGTACACCTAAGGTGGCAGGTTCGAATCCCCAGTCCGGACCCGCCAAACAACAATGATGGCTGCAACCAAAAAATAGCCGGGCGTTGTGGTGGGCGCCTGTGGTCCCAGCTACTTGGGAGGCGGAG